CACACACACACACACACACACACACACACACACACCTGCAGATACAGAACCTTACATTCATGTCTCAAGTGTTTCTCAAATGAGTCTTCTGTTTCTCAGATGTTTCTGTCTCACAAAAAGACTCCAGTAGTCTCACATGTGTCTACACTAGAGTTTCAACAATGTCTCAAATTGTGCTCAGATTTCCCACAATAACAAAGTCTGCAATCAAAACTCAGAGGTCTTTTCTCATTTCTCAAGTTCTCCTGGGTTGCATTTTCCAAACCCAATGCAAGCCAATGCAGTCCTGATCCGCCAAGCATTAAGTGTTTATAGACACAGACACTCACACTAACCATCTGCTGACCAAACACACACACACACACACACGATGTGAAGTAAACGAGGGGTTTTTAACGAGAGGCCACAGTGCTGGTGACTGTACGAACGGTTTAATGACCCGCTATCAGAGATCAGACGTCACATTCAGTCACTGCACTCACTGAGCTGTGAGACCTGAGCTACAGAACATCCTACACGCCATACAGGAGGAGAAAAACACGTCTGCTGTTCATGAGGTCAAAGGTCGTGTGTCACTGACCTAGAACAGTCTTACATTCACAAACACAACGAGACTCTGATCAATCTAGAACAGATGAGATCTTCAGTCTTCACATAGAGACAGTGATGGGTTGTTATAATAATTCCCTAACTCAGAATATGGCTATTCTGACCGAATTTGACTATTTAAAATGTAATAAATGGCTCGAATAAAGAGTTGTTCATTTTACATTCTACATGAATGTATTTCGCAGATGCTTTAATCCAAAGCGACTTACATTGAATTGAAGGAATCAAACCCATGACCTTGACGTTGGTAGCATCAAGATCTGCTGTTTGAGCATCAGGAATGATGAATGAGCTGAATGAGATTGAACGAGAGTGTCAGTAAAACGATCTGATCTTCCCATCACCAGTGTGTGTGTGTCTGTGTGTGTGTGTGTGTGTGTGTGTGTATGTGCTCCAATCAGCAGGACATACAGGTGCCTCATTGTAGGATCCAAACTAATGACATTTGCATACGCCCATTTCCTTATTTACCTAATGAACACCTGCTTGAATGACCTTGAATGAAATTATGACACACACATGTAAAGGCACACACAAACACACACATGCACACACTCACGTCCCTTAAGAAAAGAGAAACACCTCACATTAGTATCCATGTTTCAGTCAAACAATGAATCATGGCATAGTTTATTAAAGGGGTCATATGATGCGATTTCATTTTTTCCTTTCTCTTTGGAGTGTTACAAGCTCTTGGTGCATAAAGAAGATCTGTAAAGTTGCAAAGACTAAAGTCTCAAATCCAAAGAGATATTCTTTATAAAAATGTTCTTTTTAGCAGCATCATATGACCCCTTTAAGAATTTGCATCTATTTGCTTTTATTTAAATCATATAATCAAAAAGTATTTATTTAAACTGCATAGGCTCAGCATTAAATGAATTACATTAGTCAGTTAAAAACTATGAACATGGTTCAAATATGGCTAGATGTGGAAGATTCAATTAGTTCAAAATGTATGAGATTGATTGGCTTACATATAATAAATGTACTGATGAGAAATTTATCAACTTAATTGTGCATTTAAAACACATTCAGTTTATTACATAAATCTCATTCTTACTCATTTTATGCACGACTGACCACCAGTATGCATCACATTAAGTTTATTATTTTGTTTACAGTACGTTAAAACTACATCCTGTTTAACTTATGTTTAAGTCATGAAAAACTACAGTATAACAACCGCTTTGCACAAAATAAAACTCTCACTAATAGTACAGGTGAACTCTGGGAAAAATTAAAAGCTATAGGACACAAACAGATGTGTGTGTGTGAGAGTGTGTGTGTGTGTGTGTGTGTGTGTGTGTGTGTGTGTGTGTGTGTGTGTTTGTGTGTGCTGAGAGAGAGAGAGAGAGAGAGAGAGAGAGAGAGAGAGAGG